TATAATTTATTCTTCACATCTTTCCCCGGCTTTGTTCAGCCCATGCCAGCTTTGCAACGAGCACCTTTGCTCTGACTACCATTCCAATCACAAGTGAGATACGATGCAGGATGGTTGACTCATTTCTCCGCGCGCTGTAATGAAGGAGCGTTGTTCTGCGGGGGCCACCGCTGCTCCCTGGCAGCCTGCACTTCTGCATGGTGTTATTTCTGGAAGTCTCCCCCCCCCCCCCCGCCCCAGCTCCCACCTCACTGTCTTCCGCCTGGCAGATTCTCCCTGCATGGTGAGCGAGTGAGCTAAGTCCATTAAAATAGAATTTGGTAGGTTATCACACCAAATTAACTCCACTTGCATCTGCTGCCTGTCACTTTTGATCCTCGCCTCCTTTTATCACTTAATACTTCTGCTACCTGCCCAGGCCAACTTCAGAGAGAGCAGCAGTTGTAGGCTCAAGCTAATGTGACTCCTTCGCAAAGCCCTGCCTGTTTCGCAGAGATGCCGGACGGAAGGAGGCTCCTCCAGGCCGGGGCCCTTCGCGCCCCATCGGGTGAGGAACAGTCATGCTCCTGAGAAGAACAACACCCTCCCTGCCCATCAGCACCCTGCCTTGGCTTCATCGTGCTTCGACCGAGATCCCTGCTGGCATCCCAGTCCATCCCACAAACCCAGCACACCAGGTCTTCCGGCGGACTCTGAGAATAGCCACAGTCTGCAACAGCCGAGCCAGACGAGTCTGGTGTCACCCATGACCCATGATGAGGTCTTGGAAGAGAAGGGTAGCCAACAAGAGGCCGGTCTGTCTCAAGAGGGGCACTGCCGGGGGTACTCAAAGGAGGGGTCTTGGAGGTCGTTTGGCCAAGGACAGGCTGGACGTGCACATGGTGGGCATGTCGTGAGCGGAGCCGGCTGAAGCCGGGGGTCAGACTAGATGGCCCGGGAGGCCCCTTCTGACTCGCTCTGTTTCTGTGTTTGCAGTCTGGGTTCAACAAAGCCCTCTGTGCATGCTCCGGGACTCTTTCTTTGCCAGTGATGCTTTGCTGGAGGTACATGGGAGAATTAAGAGCTTTCGCCAAAGAACTGTTGCTTTGAAAAGGGGAAACTGGCTCCCAACATCCAATAGCTAGGGATGATGGGATTGTAGTCCAGAGGGCCTGGAGGTTTGCCTGCAAAGGGAGGCTCAGCCGCCAGGTGGTTTATCACTGGTCCTCCCTGGCCAGTTGGGCCACTCCAGGGTTCCCTAGGGGAGCTTTTCTCAGCCCTGCCTGGAGATGACGCAGACTTGAAATGGGGACATTCAGGGCACGTGTCCTGCCCCAACCACAGCCTGGCACCCCTTCGCTCCATGGGCTGCTTCTCGTTCATGGCACTATTTTCCCTCCTCCTCCTCCATCTCCCTTCGCCGATGCTTAACTTGGCTGTGACAATATTTGGGTACGGGTGACTGCGTCTTTATCACAGCAGGTGCAGGATTGCAATGCACAACAAACTCACAATGACAAACTCGCCATCATCAATATGATCAAATTACAGGGGTGCGTGGGGAGGGGAGACAAGAGGAAGGGAAATGATGCCGAGCCCTGGCTGGTTTGAAGCATCTTGGGGCAGGGTCCTGTGCTCCTGTCGGCACTCGCCAGACAAAAGGGAAAGAGTTTCTCCCTTGGTCTAGCATGTTCTAACGAGGTTGCTCTGGTGTGGGGTGCGCAGTATTAGAGCCAGTGCTGAGACAACGTCATCTGCGTCTTCTGATGCTTGCAACCAAGGATGAGAAACGAGGGAAATGGCTGCAGCTTTCCGCCGCACTCCGAGCCCGGCCTGAAATGAGAGGGATCCTTTTGCCGCATCCCTGGCATCTCCTGCCACATCCTCCTCTGCTGAAGGGGCGAACCAGGAGCCCTCGCAGGTGTTCTGCTCTCCGATACATTCTGCTCTTTGTTTGCCCCAGTTCTCACAGCACTAGGCCATTATTCTTATGTGAACAACCCGGACATTTCCCCCAGCATATTTCTCCGGAGCGCAAGCCAGCTTGACCTGTGGCCCAAGGGCCATTAAAATTGCATTCCAGGTCAATGGCGGAAATGGGAAACAAAGGCCAAATGAATAAGGTACAAGCGACTGCTCCAATTAGACATACATTTAAATATCACAAATATATGTCACGGCACCATTCTGTGAATCACTAATTATGATTCCCGTCCCCCCCTCCCCCTGCTTATTATAAGTGGAAGCAAACAAACCTCGGGTTGGGATTGGCTGATTAGGATTTAAAATGGACCTGTTTCTGCCCTGGTCACATCTGTGGGCTTAACCATGCTGGCATGTCCAGGGGGTGGTGGGGGGGGGTCATGTGATTGCATCAGCCAATCGATGCACTCGAAACTGTGAGGTCCTGGACCTGACCCTCAGTTAACGGATGGAGAGGCACAGCTACCTTTTCGTTTCCTGAGTGGCGATGCTCGGGCTTCGCGGCCCCGTTCCTTCAAATTACTTGCAATGCGTCCTATGCCACCTCTTCCCTTGCAAAGGAAGCTGGAATCCTTAGACAACTTGTAACCTCAAACTGGGGTTAGGGTAAATCCAGGAGGTGCCATTTTACAAATACTTAGCTCCAGTGCTTTTTTTTGTAAGAAAAAAGGTGCTGGAAATCATGAAAGTATTTACCTTTCACACGTAATCAATCACTGTACACACACCCACACACGTCAGTTGTGTAACGAAACATAATGGTCGCCGCCCGTAGTAAGCACTCAGTGTGCGACCACACAACCGATCACAAGCCAAGCAGCTCCACAAGCCAAGCAGCGCCACAAGCCGAGCAGCACGATCACAACCAGCGCAGACGAAGCACGCATGCATCGGATTCGACACACAAGCAGCCCGCGTGCACCGTTTTAATGATTTTGCCGCCAACCTGCTATGCTCAACAGGGCGATTCAAATCCACATGGACCAAACATCAAATTTTCAAAAGTTACTTTTAAAACTTGGAAAATCTGTTGAAAAAAGGTGCCAGATCTCTGTTTCGGTGCGTTCTATGACAAAAAATGCACTGCTTAGCTCAGATATTTCCATCATCTCAGAGGCAATCCACATGTTCAGAAAAAGGAAGTGGCATAGCTCTTTCTGGACTGTACCATGCTTTGCCAAAAAATGCCTTTCCATGGGAAAGGGGAATTGAGCTGCACCATCTCCCCTACATGTTCACCACCACCTCCACCTTCACCACCACCGCCGCCACCACCACCACCGTCATCGGAGAGCACTCAGTCCCTTACCAGCATTCCAAAAATGCAGCCTGAACCTTCCCATGGAAAAGTATTTCACCCTGCTCCTTAAATGTACAGATCAGTGTATAAATTAAGTAAGTGGATATGTGAGAAAGTAAATAAATTTGCACACTGCCTCAGACTGGCCTGGGGATTTGGCGAGCGGGCAATGCCTCCCGTCCTCCTGTTCTTGTACGTCCAGCTCTGTGATGGTGCCCTGTCTGAGAGCAAGCGCGGGGAAATAGTTTGTTTGCATTCTGGCTCTGGCAAAGCTCACCTTTGAAGAGGCAGGACATCGGGGCCAGGGGTGGCCAATCCGATTTTTATGAGTTTTCCGGAAACACGATTGCTGCCTGGATGCTGTCTGGGGCTAGAGTTTTCCAGTGGGAAATTAGATGAAAGAAGGATTGTGGTCTGAACTGGGCCCAGACTGCACTGGGAAATTTGGTCTTGGTTCAGAATGGCTCCAGTGAGTGCCTCTAATAGGGTGGGTTGGGGTGAAATTGTCCATCACTAATTTCAACAGCACTGCTCTCTCTCTCTGTGTGTGTGTGTGTATGTGTGTGCGTGCATGCAAGAGCACTAAATATTGTTTACAATTTGCTCACAAGTTGCTTGCATGAATTTTCTAAGTGCATACGAGTCAGTCTCTTTTTCTCATTTTTCCCATCTTAATCTCAGTGTTTAAAACATTGATCCTGTCCTGAATTTGATTCATCCTGACCTCTGAAGTTTTTTTAAGATTGCACAAATATTCATAAGCATTCCCTGAATAAATGCATCTCGGTCTCCTCTGTGCCTGTTGCAACTGCTTTCCCCTGTTTACTCCATCGCTGAGCACCCTCTCCTCCAAGACACGCATCGCTGCAAAATTTGGAGAACTGCAGATTTCAAAGAATAACTGACTATTGGCCCTGGTACTGGTGTAAAAGTGAAGAATCAGGTTTATTTACATTAAAACGTGACTGAACTAATTGCTCCCCAGCCCGAGATGCAAGCCAGAAGTACCTGGTCCTGCCTAATCTTGGAAGCTAAGCAGGGTCAGACCTGGTCAGAACTGGGATGGGTGACTTGCGAGTATGATTCTATGATTATTGCTGTCCACTGCCCAGAGAGCTTTGGCTATGGGCAGTATAAAATAGGATGATGATGATGGGGTTTTTTTGACACTGGTTACAGGACATGACTTTTGAGGCCTTGCAAACCCCTTTTGGTCATATCAGAACTCTTTACTCTTTCCGGTGTCAGGAGAAACCCTGTTTATTTCCCTATTATTTTAATGTTTAATTGATTTTAACCATGGTTTTAGTATATTAATGGCCGGATGCTGTGGGGTTTGGTTTATTCTACTTATTTATTGTAAGCCGTCCTGAGACATCTGTAGGGGATGGGATAGAAAAGCTTTTAATAAACAAACAAATAGACAAATAAATCAATTTATCGCCTGCCCCTGTGTGCGGATCCTGTGCATCAGCTGCTGAGATGCGCTGGATCCGTCCCCAGCACAGAGGCTGTTCGGGGCCTGATTGTATCTGGCAGCCTACCCAACCTGAAACCGTGTGAGTGAAGTCTCTGAAATTGTTGGAAAGTGAAGTGTCAGAAAGATGCTTGCATGGCAGGTGACGTCTCCTCTTGGCACAGCCTAATAACAGCCCTGCTGCTCATGCTTCCTGATAAAATAACAAGGGAGAGGAATTCTAAGCCATCTGAGACATACAACAGACTCCTGGCCGAAGACGGGCAGGCTGTGCGGAGAGAGCAAGAGCGGAGAAGACCACGCAGCCGCCCTGCGTCGGACCTGGAGCTCACCAGTGAAAGGAAGCGGGCGGCATGGGGTGGGAAGAAATCTCCTTTTCGGGGGGACATGGAGAGCCACTGCCAGTCACAAGAGGCAAGACTGGGACAGAGGAAGAAAAAGGCTGGCCTCATATAAGGCACCCTTTGATGCAGAACTCTCCTTCCCACATCATTTCTGGCCCTTTTGGAGGCCACATTCTCATGTCTTGACACGAGAAAATGGCTGCAACTGGCGGGAGGGCTGGGAGGATGGGAGGGGGCTCCATGCCCCCTCCCCATGAACTAGCTTCTTCCCAGCCCTTTGGCTCTGCTTTCCTGGACTGGATGGACGGTTACACTGGCTAAGCTTGCAGATGTGCAGCTTCTGCTTTCTCCCACACTGAGATGGTTAATTATTATGTTTCCCCCCTCTGCATGTGAAAGGCCTTGCAAATTTTGGTAATCACGGATAAAAATGAACAGCCATAACGTTCCCGGGCCTCTGCATTCAACACGTGCAGGGACACATGGAGAGGATGGCTCAACATTTGCTGGCCAGGTAGTTTTCAGAGCAGAGGATTCTGTCGGAAGCAGAGAGGTGGCAAGGCAGTTCAGCATTAACATGGCCAAAGATGCAGGGATTTCATTAGAAAGCACTCGGAGCCCACAGCACGTCTGCTTTCTCCCACATTCATCCCCTTTGTTTGTTTTAAACCAAGATTTCCTGAGTATGGAGAACTTTACCAATCTCAGGAAACCACAATACCAGACTGAAATGAAAATTGCAGCAATATAAAATCGCGGGTCCCTTTGGGAACATCTATGATCAAACGTGTTCTCACCTGAGATCTGTACCCGTGGTCCAACATGCTGCCTCTCCTGGAAACAGTCTTTTCCCACCCATGCGTCCTCCTTTTATGGAGATCCCTCCCGAAAAAAGAAGCCAAACTTTTCCCAGGCCACTGGGAGTTAAGAGCCCGTTTAAGATCAGACTTATCTGTTCTTCATTTGCTTTTGCACAGGTCAGACCTCTCTTTGTACAAATCAATCAATCCATACCTCCAACAGGAGCTCTGAGAACACAGGAGCTGAAGCGAACTGGCAAAAAATAAAGTAAAACTGAAGCCACCACATCCAACATTTCCCTTAACCTCAGCAGCACATGGGCAAGAAGCTCAGAAGCAGTGCATGGAAACAGAAACCACGGCTGTTCTTTATGGCTGCATAACTGCTCAGCTTTCAGCCACAGAAGCATACTTCTGTATGCTTTGCCCTACCCTACGTATCTGAAAGCTTGTCCCAAAAGATGCTCATTCAACCACTTCCTGGGAACATTGATGGTTAGAGAACCTACAATACCTTGTGGAGCCCATGGGAACTGGGGAGGCTGCACACCCTGGAACAGGACAGTTGTACCTAGGTGGAGTCAGGAATGATCTGAGGCTATGTTCTTGTTTGGGAGATGGATTACGGGCCTTAGCTTTCTGACTGTTGTGCTCTCTGTGCCTCCCATGCCAGGGAGTTAGAAGCCTTAAAACCACAAATTTCTAACAAGACCAGATCAAATGGCAGTGCCCTACCCTCAAAACCTCCAGCTTTAATAATGCAGCAGCAAAGTCTGAGTGGAAAGAAGCACTTGCTTGCTTTTCCATGGCCCAACGAGGAAGGAGTGGTGCAAGTTCATCATGCTAAGGTGGAAGGAGCCACGAAGTGTCCTCCAAGCTTTCTGGGACAGACGGGGTGCAAACTTTATTAGACTAATCTGTGACCCTGAGTTATTGTCTTCAGGACCTTTTCTTGGTGGACAGAACATTACAGAATTCCTTCCTGGCATCTTCTTATCAACAAACATTTTCTGCATCCAAAGAAAACATCCCCAAGTCTGTTTCTTCCTTTCTTGATGATTTGTCAACAAGCCAGCCATTGTACCAGGCTAAATTGCTCCACGGGAGGAAAGGACATTTACTTCCCCTTACACCACGGACACAAGCGATCATGGTGTTGGTTGTATCGCCTGCTGCGGGAATGGCCGTCAGACTCACCGGCATTCTGTGGCCCTTGGAGAGCTCCTTCGCAAATTGGACAAGAGAGGCGGCGAGTGTGCTTGCACCGCTTCTCGGGCAGCTGACTCACAAGGTCGGTGAAATGGGAGAAGAAAGAGAGCCTCATCAAAGGGACGTGGGCTGTGGTGGCCAGGATGATCTCAGGCGGGCTCAGACCGAAAGGTGCCAAGGGACTCTCCGCATTGTGAGCAGGGCTGTCCTTGAACTGAGCCGTCATGCTGCTCTCTTCCTCTCTTGGCAGCTCGGAAACAATTGTTCCGGCCTATCTTTGATTTAAACAACGTCAGCACCAAACCCAGCAAACCCTTACCTACAAAGAGGAGGAGGATGACAAAGACGGCCCGGATGAGATTTGCCTGCTGCCGTCCTTCTGAATGTTTGCTCTTGTTCATGTGAAATTGTCACCCACGAGGGGAACAGGCATCTTGGTCGTGTGTTTTGAGTTGCTCCCTGAAGCACGTGCAGACAATTGTCACAGTAAAACTGGGAGGTTTATCAAGCCGGTGAGGAGCCATTGTACCCGACAGCTGGGTAGTGCCATCTTTGGTAGGTGACAAATTGTGCTGGGTGACTCTAAAGCCATCTTTTGGCCATGTTAAGATTCATCGATGCATGTTCTGCCTTCAGGGGTTGGGTAAATGGTTGAACTTCTGTGACCCCCCACACCATCTGGAAACCCTTGATCTGACTTGGTTTGTCTACACGAACAGTCTAAAGCTCTCCCATTCTGGTTTCACTCTCATGGCTCCTATGCCAGAACCTAGGATGAAGGATAAAGGACTGATGGAACTCAGACTGAGATGTTTCCGCTTCATCAGTGACCGGGCAGAACCATGACACTGAACCAGTTTAAAACAATTTACAAGAACAGTCCCAAGAATGCACCCTCGAATCAATTATTTATTTTGCTCTACTCAGCCCGAGGGGTGCTTAAATAACTCCCTTTTTGTTTTTACTCATTCTCTAGTTCAGTTCTGTTCAGCCCAAACACAGAAAAAAGAAAGAAAATTCATGAGCACTTTTGTGCAAATTTCTAATATGTCGTTTTTGCTTGGTACACGCATGTTAAAGCAATCCTATTAATATAGCACATGGTTGAGCCTTGTTTCCCCAGTATAGGCATTTTCAACTGAAGACTGCTGCTGCAAAATTCAGAGAAATCTTTTGTTTGCATGGCGGCTTGGAAGTCTGAAATTAGCTAGGTTCACATTAAAAGTAAGCTAAATGGATGTCTTTCTCATGCCTCCTCAAAACCCAGGTCCTTTCAGGATGCAATCCTATGGCCACTAGAGACTTTCTAGGTGAATAGAAGATCATTCCAAGTCCTAGTGCTGAGATCAGAAGCGCTCTTCATGATCAGAGCTCCCTGCGGATGCCTCTCCTGCCTGAGCTCAGAAGGCTGATGCTGAAGGTGGCATTTTGTAGGTGCTCCTGGAGACCAAGAGGACCTCCAGGAGAGCGTTCCTTCTGGGATGTGAGCTGCCCTGGTGATGTATTGGCCTGTCCTCAAGAGTTAGGACATGAGACTGAGATGGTCAGAATTGTCCGTCTAATTCTCATGCAGAGTAGAAGTGGAGGCCACCTGCACCATTATGCTCCTCCCACCCAGGATCTTATGACTTCAGAGATTTATGGGAAGCCACGCGGGATGGCATGACCTCGGTTTCTTCTCTAGCCATCTCTTCATCAAGATGGCTGGAATGCTGAGAAAAAAAGTTGAAGAGGAAGAAAGTTGCCAGCCCTCCCTATAGAATCCTATAGAATCCTGGGCCTGTTTTCCCATTCTTGGGACCAGTGTTAATGCAAAGAGGGCCCTTCGGGGAAGAGAGGCGCTCTGTGTCATGGAAGAGAGCAGCTGCCGGAAAGCTCTTGCGAACAGAGCGCAACCAAGGAGCGGGGCTCCTCTCGCGCAGAAGATCTGTGCCATCAGTAATGAATTTTTACGGCAGTTGATTTTGGAGTCAGATCTCATTGTTCTCTCTTTTCCTCCATGAGCCTCTATTTGTATGAGTGCATGTGTGTATTTGTTAAACAAATTGACTCATGGGGGCTGCCGCTGCTTCTGGTGGTAGAGTTAAGGATTAAAACACACGGTGGAGCAAGAGGAAATTGGGTGTGTGTTGTGGGGAGATTCAGAAGCTTCCACTCACACACATCCCGAACATCGGAGGCTAACTTAATAAGGGGGAAAACCCAACATATGCAGGTGCCTACCTGGGAAAAGAGCTTGCCAGCAAGAGCATCTGCTTAAAAGCCTCCAAATGTTCAAGATGTTTATGAAGCAGAGATAATACCTCTTCCCCTCCTGTCATTCACCCCGTCTTGGCTAAGTAGGAAAAGCAGGGAAAGAAACTCCATGATGAAGAGGAAAGAAGTTTTCTGGGCTCTCTGACTCCCTGTATTTATTGCCAGAAAAGAGAGGGGGGAGTGACCGAAGGATAAGAGCCAAGGGTAGAGCCATGCCTTTAGGGACTCTTATCCCTCAGCCAGCAACTAAAAAGCAGAGACATCACCCTGCCGACAAAAGTGTGTATAGTCAAGGCCATGGTTTTCCCAGTTGCAATGTATGGCTGTGAAAGCTGGACCATAAGGAAGGCTGAGTGCCGAAGGATTGAGGCCTCTGAATTGAGGTGCTGGAGGAGACTCCTGCGAGTCCCTTGGACCGCAAGGCGATCAAACCGGTCAGTCCTAGAGGAGATCAACCCTGCCTGGTCTTTAGAAGGCCGGATCCTGAAGATGAAACTCAAATACTTGGCCACCTAATGAGAAGGAAGGACTCCCTGGAGAAGAGCCTGATGCTGGGAACAATTGACGGCAAAAAAAGGGGAGGGCAGGGGATGAGGTGGCTGGATGGAGTCACTGAAGCAGTTGGCGTGAGCTTAAGTGGACTCCGGGGGATGGTGGAG